CCCAGGCGAGCAAAAAATAAGGAGTGACGCCCGACATGACTAGTCTAAAGTGTCCGTAGTACCCGTCTGGACTAGTCTAAAATGTCTGCACTGCCGTTTGGACTAGTCTGAAATGATTTGCAGCAAGTCAGGACTAGTCGTCTTCACGAGGGACGTCTTGCATCTAAAATAGACTAGTCCAAAACATGCTCTAATCTTGTCATGGCTAGTCCGTTTTGTATGTGCATACTGTCCAGACGCGTCAACTTGAAGGCAAAAACTAGAAGAAACGGAGGCGATAGGTGGATTCGAACATTCAAGCCGACAATATTGGATACCTGACTAGTCTGAACTGTTTTCAATGAGTAACGCGGACTAGTATGAAGAGTCATCTATATTGGTCATGACTAGTCGTTTTCGAGAAAGTAATGCTAATTCTGGTCCAGGCTAGTCTATCCTTCCAAACAGTCTTTATTGCTTGGACTTAATCATTCGGACAATTCGTTTTGACTAGTTTGTATTGGGACTAGAACGATGTATCTAATGAGAGTTGGCTATTTATGTCCTTTTAAATTTTTAAATTGTAATAACAATCAAGAATAATTTTATTCGAAAAATTAATTTTAATGCATTGATATACGGATATTATTTTATTTCAATATAAAACCTAATGATTTGAATTTAAAAATGGATTTAAACGGTGGAATCATAGTTCATTTTCAAATTTAAATAGGAAATATTTTAAATTAAGATAAACATAAACCATTAGATGAAAAGCAAGATCTTTTTTTGAAATGTATATTATTATTTTGATTTTGATTTGAATTTTAATTGTTTTTTCCAATAGAAAATAACTTTTTCTATATGTCGATAATCAAAAAAAAATTCTGTTGAAGGAAATTAAAAAAATTCTGAATTAATTTTGCTTAGCTTTATTTAACTAATTTTCGATTTTATTACAAGTAGTTTCTATAAATATTAAAACTTGAGAAAACGCTGAGTCAAACTGTAGTAATTAGTGTCTTCAGATGTGTATTGACATGTAAAAGTTGATCACTAGATCATATGGCTCAATCGGGTAGACGACGAGTAAGTAACACAAGGTATGCATGTACGAATCTAACTTTCTGCACATATTTCTATCATTTAGACTAGTCCGAACTAGACCGCTACATAAGACTGAAACCTAACAGATGTCGCGTCACAGGCGCTCTGCCTTTTTTAATTTAAAATCTATTTTCGGACGGGATGCCCAGACGGAGTTAAAGATTCCAACCCATTTTGGACTAGTCATGTAGTAGGACTTTTTGAGAAAAAGACTAGACATGACGCATAGTCACGACTAGAAAAATGACTAGTCTTTTTACCCGTCCTTTGCTCGCCTGGGAATGTTAATCTCAGTTAGAGACCTGTGGAGTCAAGTTTTTTGACTCCGAAAAACTCCGAAATTTTTTATTGAAAAAGAGTGATCTCTGTATATTTTATGCTTGAATTGGAACACGTACGAATCGATAAAAACTAACGAATAAATGAAAATTGAACAATTATTGTACAGATTAATTTTGGAAATCGTTTTTATTTGTACGTAGAAAGGAAATAAATATGACTGTGAAGTTTTTGAGAAAAAAAGACCTTGAAAAACTAATACATGAAAATGATGAATCTGTGAAGCTCGCTTAAAAGAAAAAACCACAAATCCCAGCCAATTGTGGGGACATTTTCATCTGATGAAGATGATATTAGTACATCGAATGATATTGAAATACTTTTCGATTGATGTTATTGTGGTTCCAACTAAATGATCTTTTGACTGTTATAACCAAAAGGTAATCTATTTCTTTGTTTGTTGTATCAGAAGCATTTATCACTTCGACTCCGATATGACTCCGAAAAGTTCAGTTTTGTTGACTCCAACGGAGTTCCTCGCAGGGCTCTAATCTCCGTCCTTTTAGATTTTCAGTGAGAAACCCTGAAAGCTGGACGTCTTTTGATAGAAATATACTAATTAAAGTTTTAATTTTGGAGTTTATTAACTAATTAAACCAGGGGGTAATATATAATGGAATAGTAAAACTAAAATAGTAGAGGCTATTTGACGAGACAGTGTTTTATTGAATATTCTATAGTATGGCTTCTTTTAGTGAATAAATAGTCTCAAAATACCTGCAGTGAAAAAGGCAGTCGACTTAGATCTCAAAAAATCAGAAGTGAAATTTACACCAGGTTCTCTTAAGGATGTAGTAGTAATAATATAACTAACTAATAAAGCAGCCGCAACACCACGATTACATAAGAGTTGTTTCGCATCTACTTTCTTTATACAGCGATATCATCAGTGAAGTCTTCGTACATCTTTTCTAATAGGTAGAAGTTTTGGGAGTAGCAAAACTTAAAAAAGTATTTAATGAATACTTCAAGAATGTACTTCTCCATATAATTCCTCATTCTCCATCAACAATGTAGACAAAAAAAACTTTCATGTTCAAAATCATCTGCTGTTTGTATGGAGCAAAACTTCTTCGATCTTAATTTTGTATTTGTGCAAATTACACATTTACGTGAGGTCAAACAGAATTTTCTGTTTTTTATTTCTTTAGATCAAACGCACCAACTGCTCAGATATCATCCAAAAGGGAACATTATGCATGCCAGTATCCTAGTTGTCATAATCGATGTGATGGTAACTGTGTTGGTACTGGTAATGGTGGTTGTTATGGTCGTCGTCTTCGTTATAGTATTAGTTATTATCCTACTGATGATAGTCGTTATTATTTTAGTGATGTTAAATGCGAGAAATGTGGTCGTGCTGGTGCTAATTATAATGATTATTATACTACTACTGCTCGATGTAGAGAATGCAATCATGTTTATTGTAGTGACTGCTGCCTTAAGTAATTGTGACTTGCACAAAAATGAAATAAATAAATAAATACAAAGGATTTTGGGGCGTTGTTGAATCTTGAAGTAGCAGCGCTGAACCATTTTATATCTGTCTTCTTATTACCTAACGTAGGAAGGTTGTAAAAAGTCATAAAATTATAGATTTTTTCTATCGTCCTTGAGAATGAGGGGAATGTGTGAACTATGAAGTATAGATGATAGGAAGGATGTAATCATGGATATGTGATGAGGATGCACATTCCAACAAATAAAATATACACGCATCGTTACTCTCACTTACATCCATCATAGGATATAGTGCGTGAACGGTGTAGTGTTTAATGTATTATTAATCCACAACCATACCACACATCAGTGGTTTCGCATTCCCATTCCGTTCCCAAGAACAGGAAAGCGAGCACTGATCTCACTTCTAAAAAGGGGTGAGAGAAGCTACCACAATACAAATAAAAGTATTTCACTTTTGCAAGATAAAAGATTATCTAGTGGCATATACCCGTACTAGGTTGGAAATAATATTTTACCAGGGGGGGTACCGCTATTATTTTAAATAGGACAACTAATGAATTTTATACCAAAAGAAAGCGCATCAAAAACAGGGTTTATTGGTACTAAATGATGAAGGTTATGATAACTTTACTGAATTGAAATGTCTTAATGAATGAAGTTGCACCGGTTATAGATATGAGAAAAGTTATCGATGAGAAAAAATTAGAACTAAATGTAATAAAAACTCTATATTTTTCATCGTCTTATGAATACAATCAATAATCAGTATGACGACCGCTAGAGTTCTTCACTGCACGCAGTCGAGATGGATACGAACATAGGAGGCTTTCGAACAGATTGGTGTCGGTTTCCATATTCATCAGCACATCTAAAATGTGCAGTTTGAGCGTTTCTTCAAGGTATCGAGATTCTCTAGTTTCTGATAGTAGTCTTTTTTCAACTTCATCCCTGATTATTGTTCCAATATGTTCGGCCACGTCCAGATCGGGTGAATTTCCAGGCCAGATATTATTACCCCAAAACTTAATATCGTTGTCTTGAAACAAATGTTGGGTCTCATATGCTCGCATACATGGTGCTTTATCATGGACTAATGTAACTTCATCGACATCGATAATATTTTCTTCATCTTTTAAGAACGGAATTACATGTTCAGTCAAAATTACATCACGAAAATATTGACCGGTCCAAGATTCACCTTTTTCTTTAATCACCCAACGTAACCTTTTTGCGGTAAAGATAACAAAAATTCTGATACATGCTTGATTTTTAACCATTTCTCGATAACGTTCGTCTTCTTCGATATCATCGACACTTTTCGCCCAAACCCGAAAATTTTGATAATTCGGTTGACGAACAACCCATACATAAAATTCATCAGACGGTGCGAGATGAAGAAAGTCTTCTTCGCTTCAGTCTTTCAACCAGCCACACAGCCATAATCGGTCCGATATATGAGTTTCAGATTTTAACGGTTTTGGAATAACATGAAATGGTTTTAATCCTGGGTGGGTGTGGGTATGGGGTGTGCGTATTGATATACATAAGAGCGACACCCAAACCCACATACCCACACCCACACCCACACCCATACCCACACCCACACCCACACCCACACCCACACCCACACCCACACCCACACCCACACCCACACCCACACCCACACCATTTAACGTACAAATTTTTCTTTTTGATGCTTCTCGAGTAATAAGTTTATTATATCTTTTCGACGAAATTCGATTTTCTTTCTTGAACGTTTTGATGAATGATTCACTTGCCTTGAAGGTATCCCAACCTAAATCTCTTGCGTTTTGTATTGCAAAAAGTTGTAGATCACTGTCATGAACTGCTTCTTTTTCAATGGCTCTTTCAATATAAAATTCGTTCAACATGAAGACCATGATTTTGTTTAGTTTTTCAAGATTTCAGCCGTTTCGACTAATAACTTCTCTGAATCCTTTGATATAAGTCATGGATTTAATTTTTCGAAATCTATACGATATAGTAGCAACTGTATAATTTGGACGTTGATCAAGCCATTCAACAATAGTTTTCACTTCTTCCAAAGTGAAATGGTTCCTAATATCTTGATCTTGATTTTCTTCAAAATCATCTGACTCATCACTATTCTCTTCATCCATCATATCATCGTATTCATCATCAAATTCAAGAGAGTCATAGGTATGAAGTGCATTGAACTAGCTGTGTTTGAAAGCCTTGAGTATTTCAAATAACTGCTCCAAAACAAATATTTCATCACTTATTGTTGTTGTTTTAGCTTCGAAACCGAATTCAGCTTTAGTTAAATCAAGATGTTCTACGATATTCACTAGATTCATTATAGAAGAGTAGGAAGAATGTTTCTACAAACTCACATATGATTGCAATAACACTAAACCAATCTTAGAGAAAATATTGATATATCGAATATTGAAGTATTGATGCACACTTAATTGCGATATCTTATGTACTAGTTACTGTTCTTACAAGAAGCCTATTTTATCTCATTCATATATTACTCAACCTTCAGAAAACATCGAAACTTGCGCAACACTGCTTAAAAAAATAGTTAATACTACGAAAATACTGAATTCGAAAAATTCTGTTGTTCTTGTGCATCTAAATTTTGAATACCTTAAAATTTGAATATCTCGATCCAGGTTTGCCATTGGCAGCTCATATTTTTAATTTGGTAGTTTTTCGTTGAGGGTGATAATTTGACCCGAATATAGCTAATCAAATCAACTGGCATGACAAACAGGTCCATTATCAGCGTCATTTCACCTGAGTATTAAATTTGTTGTTTTTCTTGAAAATAAAAAAACCCACTAGTAATAGCCAACAGACTGCACCATTCTTTATTTTATTAACAAATATTTACTGTGCAAATGAAAGCAGCTATTCAAGTGTACTTTCTACAAGAACATTGACTTGCCACGAAAAGAGACAAGAAGACATTTGCACCAATCAACTTGTTTCTTTCTCTCTCTCTCTGTGAATGACTCATGTAATGCAAAAGACAAGCTCTTCACGGATTATTTCTTTTGACATTGTACGTATAACTTCGAGATAGAGTCAACAATTGGCGAAGTCTTCAACACTCCAAACATAATTTCTTCTGTCAACTAATCGCTTTTTTGTGTTCGTTCTTTCATAGGTTTTCTGATAATGAGATTGATGACAGATCACTACATCAATAGTAATAAAACCTTTGTGCAATGTGTGCCCAAAAACTGACTGATGATGATGCCATATATTATTTCAATTGATGCTGTCATTAATTGAAAACTGAATATTGACCAATTTTCCATTCTAAATTAATTCGAGAAGATTTGTTTGAGAAATAAAAACATTGAACGAAATCGATGATCAATGTATAGAGAATAGAATTTTTTATTTTGACTTTTTTTCGTTGGATTTTGAACTCGTTTTATTTTAACTACAACCGTTCGGTTGTTTTCAATCGGATAGATTTTAATGAAATTTGAAAACGAAGCTACTCGCATAAAGAGAAAATCGAGCGTTAATCGACCGAATCCTTGCTGACATCTACGAGTGAGTATAGGACATTGATATTGTTGAATTCATTCGAAATTTCAAGAAGAATCTTATCCAAGAACTCGAACAGTCCAATCTCGTTTTTGTCAGAGATGTCCATGTTCGATACTGACTGTCTATCTAATTAAATCTACTCAAAGATTTATATTTGTGCAGTACGACCTTTGTCCCTATCCCTTCTGTATGAACAACGAAGCATGTTTTGTTTTCTTTTTTCATGGAATTACTTGCTTTGATCATATCGTCAAATGTAGCCAACAGCAGTGTCTGTCGTCTAAAAAACTGTACGTACACAGCTGCTTTCATGTAGAGTCAGGTGACTTAATTCTGCCGGAAAAAAAATCATCTTCAGAAAATCTTTAATAACTCGACTTCCCAATGACATAGAGAGCTGAATTTTTTTTTCGGTGTAGAGCAAACATTTCTCTATCGATTGATGTATAATTGATTTAAAAATGTTTAGCCGTTATTGCGTAATAACAGTGAAAATAAGAGGGGAGTCATTTTCTTTCCGATTCTGTTGTGTTTTTAATTCTGCCGGTCAATGTATTTTTTTTCCTAATTCTGCCGTTTACACGTAAAATTGCACTAAAATTTTATAGAAGCTAAATTTCTCTATGAAAATGAAGTCTAATTAAAATAGAACATACATCATTCGATTCGTGCGATGATGATGCATTCAGTCGTATGCTTTTTAATATAGATTAATTTTGTTTACCGCGGTTTTTCTTCTGTTAAAAAAAAGATATTGTAAAAAAATTTTTTTTTTCGTTCCTAATTCTGTCGATCAATGTAAACTATTTTCCTAATTATGCCAGTCTGTGTAATTTTTTTATCTAACTTCACTAAAACATCAAAAAATGAACTCCTCTCATCGAGATACATAGTTTCATCGTCATTTAGGAGAAAAAAAAAATTTATGAAAATTTTTGCCTGGATAGGATGTGGACGATTTATATTGAGAAAAAGACCTGAGGGGAAGTACGGGTCGAATTTTAATAAAAATTATTTTTGTTTGAAAGACGCATCATTCGACTCAGTTTTTTATGCTGATTCCAAAAAAAGTTGATATTAGTTCACTCTTTAACTTTCGGGTATCTCAGATGTCTTAAAAACATGTAATAGCTCCAAATCCTACGGAAAGCATTGTCTCCATGAAATCTAAACATTTTTGAGTAGCTGCCTAATTCGACTTATAATATAAATGCAGAAATATAACCACACTATTCATAGGAATAGATTTAGTTCTAGTCATAGTTGTATAGATATACATAGATACCCATGTTATTCATAGGAATAGATTTAGT